AGGTAAGGTGTCATTTCTGCTGCTTTCAGGGTTTTATCTTTGCCTTTAGTTTTCAGAGGTTTACCTATAATGTTTTTACATTATAAAAATTTTTAAAAAATCTAGCATGTTGGGATTTGCTCAGATTCTTGTATCTGTGTTTTCTTTTGTGAAATTTGGAGTTCTTTAAGTCATTATTTTTTCCTTTTTAAAAAAAGATTTCATTTATTAGAGAGAAAGAGAGCACAAGCAGGGGAAAGGGAGAAGCAGGCTCACCGCCAAGCAGGGACCCAACACGAGCTCAATCCCAGGACTATGGGATTATGACCTGCGCCAAAGGCAGAGGATTAACCAACTGAGCCACCCAGGTGCCCCAGTTGTTATTTTTTCTAATATTCTTTCAGCTCCACTCTCTTTCTCCTCTTCTCCTGGGACTCCAAAATTATGAATGCTTTCCTTGTTGTTCCACAGGTTCCTGAGAGTCTATTATTTTTTTCCAATCTATTTTCTGTCTTTTTCAGATTGGGTAAATTTTATTAATTTGTCCTCAAATTCATTGATTCTATCTGCTGACATATTTACTCTAGTATTGAGTTCATTTAGCAAGTTTTTTAATTTGGGGTATTGTATTTTTCAGTTAGAAGATTTCCATTTCAATCTTTTTCGTAACTTATCTTTTTCTGAGATTTTCTATTTTTTCATCTATTTCATTTGTTATTGCTTGTTGATGCTTTTTGTGATGGCTACTTTAAACTCCTTGTCAAATCATTCCAACATCTGAGTCATCTCTGTGTTGGCATCAGTTGATTGCCTTTTTTCATTGAAGTTGTGATTTTCCTGGCTCTTAATATGATGGGTGATTTTCTTTTCCTTTTCTTTTTTCCTTTTTTTTTTTTTTTTTTTTACCATGGGTGATTTTCGGTTGTATCCTGGACATTTTTACTATTACGTTGTGAGACTTTAGGTCCTATGTAAATCTTTTATTTCAGCAAGTAGTTACCTGTTTAGGTTTAGCATGCAGGTCCTGACCTGTTTTTTTGTGGTGTGGCTTGAATGACAGCTTAATTTTCAGAGGCTTTGCAGTATTTTTTGGAGTGCTTGGCTTATCTGGTGCTGCAGGAACTCCCACTGGTCCCTTTTGGTGCTGCTTGAGGGGACCAAAGGGGCTGCCCCAGTCAGGGCCACCTGATGTCTCTCGGTGGAAGAAGGGAACCTCTGGCCCATAGGGATGAAGAATGTTTCCGGAGCCAGGCAGCTTGCTGTGCAGAGCAGAATCTCTCTTGCCAGTGCCAGCCTAGCACTTGGTGTCTCTTGGCAAGGGAGGAGTCTCAGGTCTGGCAAAGGAGGAGAGCACTTCCTTTAGCTGCTTGCTTTTAGTGGGGCTCTTAATCAATCCCCCCCTGCCAGCACTGTCAGGATCACCTGGTGTTGTCAGAAGGCCTACTGTTTGATCTGGTGAAGAAATGAGCCCACCTGGGCTGCTCTGTGTTGCTAGGTTGAGGGTCTGAAAATGCCAGGCCTGGGTTGCCTTCTTCTGTTGGGTGGGGAGGGGAGAGGGAGATGTAAGGCATCCTGCTGCTGTGTTGTTCCTATAGTCCTAGGATCCCAAACAAGCTTGCCTTTCTCTTCCCACCTTCTAGAGTGTTCCTTCGGTTGCCCCTTGAGTTCTTTCCAGGGTTTATAGTTGTACTTAGCAGGGGGGAGCAGAGAGAAATGGGTCTAAGCCATCTTGTCCAGAACAAAATTTCTTTCTGATTTTTAATTATTTGTTGTAAAACTAAAGAACAACTGAAGAAAGTATCGTTCTGGTTATTATATGCTTGCTACTGGGAATAATTTTGGCATGGAAATAAAGGGCATTTAAAAAAAATGATCTGCTCCAGGTGTCTAATATACTAGCTATGCCACTGAGAGTGAGCAAAGTAAAAGGAGAGATCAGAAAGATTGTGGAGAACAGCCTTGAAGCCAAGGGTGGAAAGAGTGTTAAGAAGCTGAGAGAGGTTATTATTTTATTTGCTTTATGATGGGATTAGAAACCAGAGGATCTGAAGCATTAGGTTGCTTGCCCAAAATTGCTTTGGCATTTGGCTGCAGGATGGTTGCAGAATTCAGGATTATGACATTCCAAGACCATGGTAACAGCACACAGTTTCCCAGGGTGCCACTTTCAAACTCCAAACACAACATTTTCTAGAAGATACACTACAATAGCCAAGTACCTTTTGCCTATCTGCAAAATGAACAGAAAGTTTCAAAAGAAACAAATGTTTACTAAATTTGACTAGTATTAAATGTCTGTTATTAATTGTCTCTCAAGCATCCTGCATGGAGGGGGCTTAGTGTTCATGAATTCATTTCAAGATAATAATTACCAATGGAGTGCTTACTCTTGGAGACTATTAAATTATAATTGGCATTTGGATAAGTCTATAAAACCAATTCTTATGTCTTTCTTTAAGTGTCTGATTTCTCAAATTTATCTGTGACAATTTCTAATATTTCACATTTCTGCAAGTTTCTTTTGCCCATGATCACGATCACTTTCATATAAGCTAAACCTTTGTTCCCAAGAGTACATGCAGGATTCCAGATAAAGGCTGACCACTTTCTGATTAAATGTGTTTCAGTCTTTCATTAGATCTCTCTATACAACAATATCTACATCCCTGCCTTTTTTCAGGCTCAATTTTTAGAAATCTACTGAAAGACTCAAATATATACATATAAATTTAAAATATTTAGGAGTCTTTTTCCAAAGGGAAATTTGTTTTTAAAGAAACTTAAGACAAGAGACTTCCTTCCCCCAAAATTCCTCCAGGAAAACTATCTCCAAATGAAACCAAACTGCAGATAGCATTCTGGATGAAATTCACTACCCAATACAGAAAGTTTATGTATTTTGGCAACTGCAATTGGGCTGTGATTATTTGTTATATTGAGCCATGGGAAACGACTCACTGGAAATAGATTAAGGTATCTTTGGAAAATCTCTTAACACTTTCAAGATGTTGGGATGCCATCTCACCTACCCCAAATTTCCTCCAGCACATGAAATGGCCTCCCAGCATCCGGAAAAAGTGAACCAAGCTTCCAAAAGTGTCTGTCTTGCAATCAGCTGACACTCCTGCCTGAGGTGCAACTGGTTTCAAGGGTCTTAGCTTCCTCCTGCACATCTTAGAGTATTTGTGGTAAAAGTTATGATGCTTTGGTAATTTGAGACCTCAACTCACAGCTGAGCTATTAAATCATGACTCTATGAGCAGGTGAGATGGCAAGGATTTGAGTACGAATGATCAGGTTTATAAATTACAGGTGCAAGAATCCATCCAACAGTATAATTATGACTCAACTTGGAAGAATCTAAGGGTCAGAGCCATGAAATATGATGTACAAATGATTTCACCAAGAGGAGCAATGCACTCATTTATAGGGCAGGTTCTAACATCTATAATCCTGCAACTTGGGGCAACAGGAAGCAAATCTGCCCTTGCAAACCTGCCTAAAAGCACTAATATTACTAGTTCTCCTCCTCATCTGTTTTTCAATATAAGATCATCAACTTATCTGAATGCTTCAGAATATTCCCCTGCACCAAAAACTGCCCTCCTGAGAAGTGAACACGTAAAAAGCCATTGATGTGTTATGCGCAGTGTGGCTGGCTCTGCAGTGCCAAGGCAAACTGGAGAAATAATTATTTGATGTTAGATAATCATTTGCTTATTTGATAATTAAAAAATCCCAAATTATTATTGCAACCCAAATGTCTCCTGGGGGATATGCATGAGTCAAATTAATCCAAACTCCCTGGATCTTAACTCTACCTGCTTATTCAGAGCTGCCAGTGCTATGGTCTGAAATTTGTGCCCCTCCACCCCCAAAGTCACATACTGAAATCCTACCCCCCAAGATGATGGTATTAGGAGGTGGTGGCCTATGGGAGGTGATTAGGTCATAAGGGTAGAGCCCTCATGATTGGGATTAGTGCCCTTATAAAAGAGACCTCACAGAGTTCCTTACCCCTTCTAGCATGTGAGAATACAACAAGACATCAGCAGTCTGCAAGCTGGAAGTGGGCCTTCAGAACCCAATCATGCTGGCATTCTGATCTTGGACTTCCAGCCTCCAGAACTGTGAGAAATAAATGTTGATGAGCCACCCAGTTTATGGTATTTTTGTTATAGCAGCCCGAACAGACAGCTTTCTGGAAAAGCCCCCTCCCAACCAAGTATTCCCGGATGTCCCTGGAGGGGTTTCACAGGGAGCTCAGGAAGCAGTATGGCAGCTGCAGCCTCCACGCATCCACTATGATCAAATTTTTCTCCTCTCCTGCAAGGGCTTCCCCTTGTCAGCGTCATCTACTCAAAAGTGGAGTGAGGGTATCTTCCCAGTGCTGCTGCTGAGGGTAAGAGCTTCAATTTCCCCACTGACTGCACTCTCTTGCCATGCTCTCTAAATGGCCCATGATGCAGTAGCAGACACATGTTCATTTGCGGGCAGCAGTCTAGAGAATGTCTCTCTTCTCCACTGTGTAATATTCTTTGTCACCTGAGCCCCAAAGCAAAAAATTGTGTTCAGTCTCATCAGGATGCCTCATAAAATAGTTTCTTCCATGTTAAATCTCAATAATACCTTTCTCCATCGAGGTTCAAAACCATGGTATCAAACCAGGCAAGGACAACAATCTTGCCTTCTACTCTCTTGTCCTCATTTCCAATTCTCCACCCTCCTCTACCTGTGCGCTACATGCACCAAACTCCTCTTTCGGGACGCCTGGGTGGCTCAGTCGGTTAAGTGTCTGCCTTCGGCTCAGGTCATGATCTCAGGGTCCTGGGATCAAGTCGCGCATCAGGCTCCTTGCTCAGCAGGGAGTCTGCTTCTCCCTCTGCCTGCCCCTCCTCCTGCTTGTGCTCTCTCTCTCTGCCAAATAAATAAATAACACAGGGGAATATTTTAAAAAAAAAAAAAACAAACAACTCCTCTTTCTTCCTTCAGATGCAAAAGTCAAGAACTCAAGGGCTCATGGACACCAATTCAGAGAAATGTTGCCCACCCTACCAAACCTCTCTGCTGCCAGGAGTAAGTGATTCTCTGTGAGATAGTTTATTCTTCATTGCCTTCAATCCTCCACTTGGCTTTGGCTGTTTCAACATGGCTTTGGATTCTCTAGAGCAGGGGTCTCCAAAATGGGCTGGTCAAACCCCAGGGTGAGTGAGATAATACCCTGGGGGGTAGGGAGCAAATGTCAGAATCAGTAGATAGACAGATTCAGTTTTACTCTTACTAAAATAAAGATCACCACCAGTGCCCTCCGTCAGTCTGTATGAGAGGGTCTGATGTTTTTCAAGGTATCCTGGGGAAAGGAGTGAATGTTCCACACTGGGAAGAGTTGACAATGGAACCCTCATGTGATCATTTCTTTTGGCATATTGCAAAGTATTACCATTGATATGTTCCTGGTTAGGTGGCACTGCAAATTATGTTACCCAGTTTTAACTAATAACTCTCTCAAATTTGGCAAGTAGCTTAAAGAATCCCTGCAAAGAAACCACAGATCAAGACATGGCCACTAACTCAAGTTCACAAAAGGCTAAGAGAAATGGCAGCAGTAACAATTCTTCCACCCTCGTAGTAGCTCAGCATCAGCCATATTATATAAAACAACAAATTCAAATCACATTACTTAAAAACAGAAGTTATCAAGAAATATGTTATTAATAATTATTTTAGTTTGGAGTCCCCCCCAAAACAGACCCCAAGGACAAGGATTTAGATGCAAGTATCTTATTTGGGAGGTAATTCCAGGAAGCACAGTGAGAGAGTAGGGAAGTGACGTACAAAGGCAGGAAAGCCAATAAAAGATATGCTGATGAATTGATTACTACTGTGGGTACCCAGGACCCTCTGAGGGGCTGTGTGGAACAACACTGTCCCTCTGAGGTGCAAGGAAGTTCAAGCGTTTATCCACTGACTCTTGTCCCTCATTGGTTAAGAGTCATTTCTGGGGTATGTTAGGTCCCTTGCACTCTGGTCTCTCCCATATATACTGACTACACTTTAATAGTCCGAGAATGCTTTCATGAGGACAGACATAGGAAGTGTTACTTGTACAGGAACCTTCTGCAGATGACTGCTAGGATGGGCCAGGGGTTCTGGGTTGGGCACTGATAGTGTCTGCCACCACAATTAACCTTTTTGTGACTGCGTATGGTTTCTTGAGCTAGTAGTACACAAATATAATTTAGAAACAAATATATCTATATCAGTGGTTCATGCCCCAAATATTTTTACTGATACAGGTGTCTGGATCACAAAAAGCTTTGGAGCTCACTCCTCTAGGGGGAGTTGGAATCTCAGAATTGTTTATGAGCACTAACTACAAGTCCTGTTGAAATACCGCAGGCCAGAGTAGAGTCATAGAATAAAAATCATTAAACCCCTTTCTTTGCCCAGAAGTATCTTACAAAGGAGTGTCTCCCTCTGTTCTCACAACACTCCTAGCAACTTGGTTGCTTAACTTCTCTTTCGGCATCATGACATTTAAGAGCAGTTTGTTTTGTTGATGAAAATGTCAAAATATGGGGTTCATGGTGGGCAAGAAAGGGAGAAAATTATAAAGGAAGATGCTAGTGAAAGGATGGGGTTCTCACTTTACCAGTGGACCCTAAGAGAGATTGAGCTACCTCTCATGACATTTGACCATGCTGCCCTCCATGGTGAGAAGGGTCACTTCCCCCGGGGAGTAGGATGTGAAGTGGGTGGAGAGCCACGAGGTCCTACTCGTTGATCAGATTGATCTTTCTGACTTACCATTTAGGGCCTCTTTGTCTTAAGTAGCCCGAACTGAACCAACAGAGTTTACGCAATCAAGATTTTTCTGGGACCTGCTTTAGTCATTGGTACTTGACACATGAATGGTCTATATCACTGATTTTTAGTGTCTCCAGATTATTAAGCTTCAAGAAGTACTAGAAGAGTTAGGGCCATGAGCTCTCTGTCCTAGTATTCTGTTTATGTCAGGGGAACAAAAGGATAAGTTTTGGAAGGATACATCTTTCTTGCAGACTAAGCTAGAAAGATACTACCAAAACATATGAACTCTGCTTAACCATCTAACCTCAGCCAATCAACAACTGCTGACTTGACATTTGTGCCAGGGCCTGTGGTAGGTTCGAAAGGAAGGAAGGGAGAGAAGGAGGAAGGAAGGAATCATCCTAGGCTTCCTTAAAAGGTAGCTAGCCTTAGACAAGGCTGTACATGGTGATTACCAAATAAAGTGGACAAACATGGAAACATCTCAATAGCTTTGATCAAAGCTATGATGATCAGGGAAGCATCCAGAAAGAGGTGGATCTGAGCTAAAAAGTATTCTCAAACTTGAATACACATCAGAACCGCATGGACTGTTAAATCAGATTGTAGGTCCTCACTCCCCAGAAATTCAGATTCCCTAAGGTCTGTGGTGAGACCTAAGCATTTGCATTTATAACAAGTTCCCAGGTAATGTGGATGGTGCTGGTCTAGAGACCACATTTGAGAACCATTTCTCTGAAGGAGTTTAGATATGTAGAAGAGCAGGGAGTTGATATGAGGAAGGTGGTACCTTATTCTGCAGGGAAAAGTGGAAAACATATTTAGAAGGATTCTGAAGTGAAGGGATTGTAGATAGAGGAATGGGAGATAAGAATGTAAGGCCTGTCTGAAGATTTTGAAATTTATCCTGTAGGCAACTAGAAGTCATTGAATATATCTGAGTAGTGACATGACATGATGGAAACTTTATTTTAGAACTGTTTCTTTACAGTATATTCCATTGTGTGAGTAGGGGAAGGGAAGAGATGGACAGAAAAATGTAAAAGCTTATGAATTTAAGTTGTTTAAAAGTCTATTTTGTAGGGCCACGTGAGTGGCTCAGTCGGTTGAGCATCCAACTCTTGGTTTTGGCTCAGGTCATGATCTTGGGGTCGTGGGATAAAGCCCTGTGTCAGGCTCCACTCAGCATGGAGTCTGCTTGAGATTCTCTCTCCCTCTCCCTCTGCCCCTCCCGCTTGTGCTCTCTCTTTCTCTCTCTCTCTAAAATAAATACATAAATCTTGAAATGTCTATTTTGTTGTATACCATTCTTTCCAAACAGAGGTGAGAAAAGTACTTCTTTGGAGATTACATTTTGATGAGAAGCCTGGGCCAGCATTCCTCTTGGAAAAGAAGACAGAGGCAAACAAATGGCATTTGAGTTTTGGTCTTCCATTATTCAAACTTTCCTTAAAAATGACAGCATGGAAATCTTCAAGTCTGCTTGGAATCTGAGCCAATTTGATGGGAGAATCTGCAGATTTTCAAGCAGTAAGTTGATCTGTGGTGGCCTTCAACCCAGGAGTGAGGACTTTTTTGTTTATAGTCTTGACTCCAAAGAGATCCAAATTTGCCCCATCCTGGAAGTGTATCACTAAGGGGTAATTTTCAGTGTTTAAATTGGCTTATAATAAGACCACATTGAAATTTTTTTTTCTTCCTCTGTGAAGATAAAAGCAATGTGTGTGACACTGATTCTATAAGAGGCAAGAGAATTGCGCTCCAAGGGCATATACACATACACACCCACCCCACGTTGTATTGGCCGAGAGCTCTGCACTGAGGGAGATGCTCGGGCATATTTCTGCATGAAGCAAAATCAATATGGGCGAACCTGAAAACCATCTGTTGGGAACTTTTGGAAAGGTACATGAAAGAGGAGGTGAGAGACAAGGGGGAAGACTTGGGAAACAGTCCAAGGAAGCTCTTTCGACAACTCAAGTCATTACTTAACATTGATGTAAACATCTGGGAGCCCACAGGCCCTGCCTAAAGGGACCTAGAGCCAACATGGTTGCGCAGTTCAAAACAAACCTCTGGCATCTCAAAATGTTCCTACACCTTTGTTCTCTTGGGTTCCACCTTGCTAGGTAACCCTCCTCTCCTCTGTGATTTTTCTCCCATTTCCTGCTTTTCTCATTCTTTAGCCGCCACCCAGCTCTCTATGGGTGGAATAATAATTTAGTACAAGTTCAATTTTTTTGAAAATGTTTTGCAATAAAATATTACTGCTTTTGTTCTCTGTGGCTAGAGGGGTGGTGGCCTGGTATGACTGCCCCAATTTTAAAGGCAGGGAAAATAAGGATAATGGATCAAGTGATTTGCCAGAGATGAAATGAATGAGATTAGCACTCGTTTCTTTATCCCAGCAACTGAAATAAATACAAGAACTAAATTGTAGCAATTGCTTAGGAAAGCACTAGAAAACATCATTCTTTGTGATTCTTGTGAAATGAATGTGGTAACAGAGAAGATGGCTCTGCCAGTTTTTAATTCAGTGAAGGTTTTGAACATATTTCTAATTCCTTTGACACATCTCCAGTTTTCTCATGCATAAAATGGAGCTAATACAATAATTAGTATCTACCTTATAGGGTGGTTGTAACGATTAAATGACTTAAAACATGTTGAGCACTTAGAACAGTACATGGCATCTAATAAGCACTCAATAAATTTATTAGTATTATGGCTGTTGCAATAGCAACATCAGTTTATTTTAAAGTGACAACCTGAATATTCAAATCTTCCAAAAATGCATACCAGAAAATGCCTAGCTGCAAAGGAAATCATACTGGTTTGCCTGAGAACCTTACTAGAATGAGAAAATAAGGGGTAGAGATTGAGTTAATGAGTGGTTCATCACTCTTCCAGAACATTTTGGAAATTAAACTCTTCATTTTAGGGTTTATTTGTATCAGGTCTGGCTGTGCCTTTGCGAAAATGGAACCCAAATATTGCAGGTGCCATTCCTGCTCCTACCTACCTGATCCCCATTGTAGCATCCAATTTCCCAGCCACTAAGAGTGTACTGTGATCAGGTTCTGATGTGACACCAAATTTATCTGTGACTGCTAAAGTAGTCAGTCCTGCTTGTCACACCTGTCACCTCTCAAATATAAACCCCACAGGTCATCTCTCCCCTCCCATACTCTCGACCAAGGGTTTCTTTGCTTTGATTTTCACCTCTCTTGGTCTTCCTGTCCCTCCCAATCTTTTACAGTGTCCACTGGAATTCTGATGCCCCTTCCATAGCAAGCAACTCTGTGGATGCCTGTTCTGTCACCATCTAGTGGTAATTGAAGCCTGGCTCTCCCAAGAAGCTCTCAACTTCCTAAGGCTCTTTTATCCAGATGTTGTTTATTCTACTGCATTTCATGAAGATGATGACCATCATTCACTTCTCCTCCCCCATCTTTATATGAAAACCTCTTTATAAAAAACTTGTGGGGAACTTCCACTTTCAAGAAGATGGAGTGGGTATACTTTTCCTTATTCCTCCCACTAAGTACAACTAACAACCCTAGACATTATATGTAAAACAAACATAAAAAGACTGAAAGGTGGAGAAAGGAAGGCAGACTGGCTAGGGACCTCAGGACCTGAAGAACAACGAGGTCATGAATTCCATGGATTTTCTTTTTGTCTCATATATCACAGAATTGGAGCTGAAGAAGCTGACAATCTGGAACACAAACAGATGCAGACAAATAAAAAAAAAAAGCCCAAACACAAGCCTGCTATCTCCAGCCAAAGTACCAGGAAAGGGACAGGCTTATAAGACAGAACCTTTAGAAAATAACTACTTTACTCCAGCCAAATACCACAGAAAGAACTATAGTCTAGACTTCCACCACTGCATGGCTGTAACTAGGCTCCCCCTCACCAGAGTGGTCAGAGGAAGCTGAGTAGGGAGCCATGTCTTTCATCCCTGCTTGGTGGTAACAAACACACATCCCTTGCAGTGTTGGTGGAGACCATGTGGGAAGCCTGCATCCCCATCTCCACCTAGCTGGAATGATGCACCTCTCTCTCCTCCCCACTAGGAGTCCTAATGGAGAGTCAGGACTCTCCCCACCGTCCAGTGGTAATGAGACAACCACCAAAAGTGTCAGGGAAGGCTTTGCGGGGAATTGGAACTCCCCTAAGATGATAACAGAAGCTGAGTGGAGAACCTGGTTTTCTACACTCACCAAGCAGGAACAAAGTGCCACTCCTATTTCTTCAGCCTGAGCAGTGTCAGGAAGCCAGTTAAAACAGAAGGTTTCAATAAGAGCCAGAGTATCACAGCTTAAGTGTCCAGGTCTCAATAAAAAAAAAAAACAAAAACAAAACTTCATCATACAAAGAACCAGGAAAATCTCAATTTGAATGAAAAAGACAATCAAAAGCTGCCAACATTGAGATGGAAGAGCTGTTAGAATTATATGACAAAAACAAAAGCAGCCATCAATTGCTTCAATGAGCAATTACAAACAAGATTGAAACAATGAAAACGCAGACAGTATCGGCAAGGAAATAGGAAGTCTCAGCAAAGAAAGAGAAGATATAAAGAAGAACCAAATGGAAATTGTAGAACTGAAAATATAGTAGCCAAAATTAAAAACTCAATAGATGGGCTCAATAGCAGGACGGAAAGGAGGATAGAGGACAGAACTGGTGAACCTGAAGAAAGAACAATAAAGATTACCAAATCTGAATAACAGAGAAAAAACAGACTGAGAAATATGAACAGAGTCTCAAGGAACTGTGGGACTATAACAAAAGATCTAACATCTGGGTCACTGGAGTCCCAGATGGAGAGGAGAAAGAGGATGGGGCTGGAAAAGTGCTTAAAGAAATAATAGCTGAAAACTCTCCAAATATGGTGAAATAGATAAATCTATAAATTCCAGAAATTGAGCAAGCCTCAAACAGGATAAAACCAAAGAAATCCCCACCAAGTCATATAATAGTCAAACTTCTGAAAGCTAAAGCTGAAGATAAATCTTGAAAGCAGTGAGAGAGAAACAACACATTACCTATAGGGGGAAAATAATTCAAATAACAGCAGGTTTCTCATCAGAAACCATAGAGACCAAAATAAAGCAGTATAACATTTTTCATGAACTGAAAGAAAAAAGAACTGTCAATCCAGAAGTCTATATCCAGTGAAAATATCCATCAGGACTGAAGAGGAAGGAGGAAATCAAGACATTCTCAGATGAAGAAAAACTAAGAGAAATTGTCACCAGAAGACCTATCTTAAAAGAATGGCTAAAGTAAATTTTTTAAACAGAAAAGAAATGATATCAGGAAGGAAGTACAACAGAAAGAGTAAAAATGTGGGTAAATACGTTTTCCCTCTCTTTAGTCTTCTAAATTATGTTTCATGATCGAGGCAAAAATTATAACACTAATCTGATGTGTTTCTAAATGTATGCAGAGAAAATATTTAAGACAATTATACTCCAAACCAAGGAGAGTAAAGGGAGCTAAGGTTTCTGTACTTCACTAGAACTGGTAAAATGGCTAGCAGACTGTGATAAGCTATGTATATGTAATGTAATATCTAGAGCAACTACTAAAAAGGTTATACAGGGATACACTCAAAGACACTATATAGATACCCCAAAATTGATTCTAAAAAATGTTTATGTAACCCACAGGAGGGCAGGAAAAACAAAACAGACATGATACACACAGAGAACAAATAGAAAACAAAATAATGAAATAGAGACTTAAGCCTTAACAGGCCAATAATTATATTAAATGTAACTGGTCTAAACATACCAATTAAAAGACTGAAATTGGCATAGTGGATTAAAGAACATGACACAACTACAACGAACTTTAAATATAATGACATAGGTGGGTTGAAATTAAAAGGAGGGAAAAAGATATATCATGTAAACAGTCAAAAGAGAACAGAAATGGCTACATTGATATTAGATAAAGTGAGACTATTAAGTAAAGAAAATTACCAGACACAAAGGGGGACAGAACAATAAAAGAGTCAACCCACCAGGCACACATAGTAATCTTAAATGTGTATGCATCAAATGACAGAGCTGACAAATCTGTGAAGCAATAAAATGATATAACTGAAAGGAGAAATAGACAAATCTACCATCATAGTTAGAAGCTACAGTACAGAACATCTAAACAGGAAATCAGAAAGAATGTCAAAGCAACCAACAACACTATCAACCAATAGGATTTAATAGATATTTATACAACACTCTGCCCAACAATGGAAAAATACATATTATTTTCAAGTGTCCACAGATAATATATGAAGGTAGACCATATCCTGGCCATTAAAAAAAAACCCACAACTTATTTAAAAGAATTTAAATAACATAAAGTATGTTCTCCAACCATAATGGATTCAAACTAGAAATCAATAACTACAAGATAACAGGAACATCTCCAAACAGTTAGAAATTAAACACACTTCTAAATAATCCATGTGTTAAAAGAGGAAGTCTGAAGGGAAATTTTAAAAATACAATGAACTGAAATAAAATGAAAATATGCATATCAAAATATATGAGACCCAGTTAAAGCTGAGAGGGAAATTTATAGCATAAAACATTTATATTAGAAAAGAGGAACAGTCTCAAATCAGTAGCATCAGTGCCCACCTCAATAACCTAGAAAAAGAGAAAAATAAACGCCAAGCAAGCAGAAGGAAGGTAAGAATAAGAACAACAACAACACACACACACACAAAAATCAATGAAATTGACAACATAAAAACAATAGAGAAAATCAATGAAACAAAAAGCTGGTCTTTTGAAAAAAATCAGTAAAACTGACAAACCTCTGGCAAGACTGACAAAAGAGAGTGAAGACATAAATTACCACTATCAGGAATTAAACAGGGATTATCACAACAGACTCTGCAGACATTAACAGTAGAATCAGGAAATACTATGAAAACTCTACATACCTAAATTTGACAACTTAGATGAAAATGACCAAGTCTTCAAAAAGTACAAAGTAGTACAACTCACCCAATACGAAACAAATCATTTGAATAGTCCTATAACCATTAAAGAAATTGAATCTATAATTTTTCACCTTCTGAGAAAGAAATCTCCAGGCCCAGATGGTTTCATTGGAGAATACTTCCAAATGTTTAAAGAATTAACACCAATTTTATACAATCTCTTCCAGAAAATGGAAGAGGAAGAAAGACTTCTCAATTTGTTCTATTAAATTAGTATTAGCCAGATACTAAACCAGGCAAAACCAGTACCAAAACAAAACAAAACCCCTCTCTTTCACAAATAGAGAAACAAAAATCTTTAACAATATTTTAGCAAATAAATTTACCAAGATACAAAAACAACTGTACACCATGACCAAGTGGGGCTTATTCCAAGGATGCAAGGCTGGTTCAAATTCAAAAATCAATCAGTGTAATCTACCACAATAACAGTCTAAAGAATAAAAATCACATGATCATGTCAAATAATGCAGGGAAAACATTTGACAAAATTCAACATCCATTCATAATAAAAGAATAATCTCAGAACTAGGAATAGAGGGGAACTTCCTCACCTTGATAAAGAACATCTACCAAAAAACTACAGCTAATATTATATTAATGATGAAAGACTGACTACTTTCCCCCTAAGATCAGGAAGAAAGTAAGAATATTTGCTCTTACCATTCTTATTCAACATAGTTCCGGAGGTTCTAGCCAGTGTAATAAGGAAAGAAAAAGAAAGAAAAGGCATAAGAGTTTGGGAAGAAAAAGATATGACACCCTCCCTATTTGCAGATGACATGACTGTCTAGGTAGAAAATTCCAGGAAATCTACAAAATACTCCTAGAACAAATAAGTGAGTTCGACAAAGTGGCATGATACAAGAGGGACATACAAAAGTCAATCGCATTTTTGTATACTAGCAATGAGCATACAAACACTGAAATTAAAAATACCATTTACAATCCCTAAAATAAATACTTATGTGTAAATCTAACAAAATGTGTGTGGCACTTGTATGCTGAAAACTACAAAACACTGATGAAAGAAATTACACAAGATACACATAGAGAGACATACCATGCCCATGATCAAAAGATTCAACACTGAAAAAGTGTCAGTGCTCACCAACTTGATATGAAGGTTTAATGCAATTCCTATCAAAATCCTAGCAAAACTTTTTGTAGATATGTACAAAATTATTCTACACTATATATGGAAAGGTAAAGGACCTAGGTACAAAGGCAGTTCAAAAGAAGGATAGGGGTACCTGGGTGGCTCAGTCAGTTAAGCGTCCAACTCTTAACTTTGGCTCAGTTCATGATCTTGGGTCATGGGATTGAGCCCCTCATCGGGTTCTGCGTTGGGCATGGAGCCTGCTTGGGATTCTCTCTTTTCCTCTCCCACCCCAACCTCTCTCTCTCTCAAAAAAAAAAAAAAAAGATAAATTGGACTTTATCAAAATTATAAACTTTTGCTCTGTGAAAGGATGCAGAGGCAAGCTACAGACTGGGAGAAAATATTTGCAGAGCATATATTCAACAAAGGACAGCATCTAGAATATATGAAGAACTCTCAAAACCAACAGTAAAATACAAACAATCCAGTTAAAAAATGAGAAATCAGAGGGGGAGACGAAACATGAGAGACTATGGACTCTGAGAAACAAACTGAGGGTTCTAGAGGGGCGGGG